GCAGAAAACAAAATGGTGGAAAACTGTCAGAAGTATTGTGCCTACCTTCGTTCTACATATTACAAAATTAAAATCCCTAGATTTACAAAGTACCGCGGTTTGACGCCATTTTGGCTCGAAAGTCAAGCGGGAAATATAAAAAAATAAGTGGTGAGATGCAGTGACAAGCTGTCAAACCCAGTCAAACCGCCATTTTGGCTGGAAAATAGGTTTCATGAACCGCGGTACTTTGTATATCTAAAGACTTTATACAAAATGAACGGTTAGCGCCATCTACTGAAATGGACTAATACTAATAACTGATTTCACTTGTAATGTATTGAGTTGAACCACCATGAAATTAACCTTACCCAATATTTTTTTCCGGGATGATTGACAGGCCAAAACAAAACTGACCTATCCTAACATTCCTTCACGCTATAATTGAGGTTTCTACACGCTTTAATTGCGTTTCTTCACGCTATAATTGGGGTACAAAAGAAAACCGACATTCCTTCACGCTTTAATTTGGGTACAAAAGAAAGCCGACAGTCCTTCACGCTTTAATTTGGGTTTCAAAAGAAAACTACCGGTCTTAACATTCCTTCATGCTTTAATTGGTGTTCAAAACAAAACTGACCTATCCTAACATTCCTTCACGCTATAATTGAGAGTCCTTCACGCTTTAATTGGGATTTCTTCACGCTATAATTGGGGTACAAAACAAAACCGACATTCCTTCACGCTTTAATTTGGGTACAAAAGAAAGCAGACCGTCCTTCACGCTTTAATTTGGGTTTCAAAAGAAAGCTACTGGTCTTAACATTCCTTCATGCTTTAATTGGTGTTCAAAACAAAACTGACCTATCCTAACATTCCTTCACGCTATAATTAAGAGTCCTTCACGCTTTAATTGGGATTTCTTCACGCTATAATTGGGGTACAAAAGAAAACCGACATTCCTTCACGCTTTAATTAGGGTACAAAAGAAAGCCGACCGTCCTTCACGCTTTAATTTGGGTTTCAAAAGAAAACTACTGGTCTTAACATTCCTTCATGCTTTAATTGGGGTTCAAAACAAAACTGACCTATCCTAACATTACCTAATATTTTGCTAGAGTTGATTGACATTTGTAAACAAAACTAACCTAACTCATATAATTTAGCTAATGTTGACTCTATATTCATCGTATATGTATAATTATAGGCGTGAATTTTTCCAAAAAAACCACTGTTTGAGAACGATGAAAAGTATTTATTTAATTATTAAATCGGTGCTACGTTACGTTTCGACCAATAAGTTGGTCTTCTTCAGGCACGTCTAAAAAGGTTTTATAGGTTCAATACAAATAATTAAGACAAAATTACATATTGAATATTTACCGTCTTAGGATGTAGCAAATGGAGGATTTGATCTATATAAATTTAACATCGCAAAGGCAATGGAGATAATTCGTTATTTAGACGTACAGGTGTCCCAATTTCGATGTCCGCATAGGCTATCTCCGAAACTAAAAGAGATAGAAAAAAAGTAGCTTACATGTCATGATCTCGTTTTTCGAGAAAATGTTAATGCCGAAAACTCCGAATAGCTATCGTCTTTTGTTTTCGCCTTATCGGCAAAAACTGAAAATTTTGTGAAAACGACAATCGCGAATATCTCACTTATTATCAAAGATGGAGTATTATAAATAAAACATTATACGGGCAACTTTTCAAGAATTCAGTGGCGTAGGTAGAATCTTTTCCCATCTTTTATTTTCGAGATTTTAGACGTAACTTTATTTTTTTAAATGGAAACCATAGTTGGCTATGATCTAAAATAATTCGTTATTTTCTTCTGATAACAAATATATATAGTTTGTGGGGTATATTTCTTATAGTTATTGAATAATTAACAAAAATTCATTTTGTTCTATCTAAAACTAATGTATGTATTTAAAAGTTAATGTTGCTATGGTGATAACCATACATACTATGATGGAACATAATGTATCAAATAATTGCCAAAGTTTGTATTTAAAAATTCGATAACAACTCTGGCATTATGTGCTGGTACGATGCACCAGCATGTTAAGTGTCAAAGTATAACAAAACTGAATAAAACTTTACAATGAATTTCGAAAATTATGAAAAATGTAACATGATGGAATGCTATATGTTATCAGATAAGAATGCGACGTTAGCCGCGGAATTTTATTTCACAAGATATCCAGAAAGAAGACAACCGCACGTAAGAACCTTCAGCCGGTTAGCAGAAAATTTAATAGATATTTGGTCCTTCCCCAAACCACATACAAAAACATACCAAAATGACCTGCAAGAGAAATTGCAACAAGACGTCTGACCCAAAAGCCGTTGCTCCCGAATATGAAAGAAAAATAAGTATAAACCATACAAAGCGGGGCTAACTCCTTATTTACGTGCCGGAGATGTCAATCGAAGATTAGAATTTTGTAGATGATATTTAGAAAAATTAAATAGTCTGCTGTTTGTTCAAAATGTTATCTGGACCGAAGAAGTCTCTGAGTGTTCAAAGAAGCTTGGGGTTCAATGTATGGTGTGCCCTTTTAGATAATAGAATTTTGCCATATAGTATCTACCATAAAAACTTAAACTCAGAGAAATACCTCAATATATTAAGGCAGCACTTGAGCCTTTGGTCGACAATTTGGCACTAAATATGTCTCAAATGATATATTTTCAATATGACGGAGCACCAGCACATAATGCCAGAGTTGTTAGTGAATTTTTAAATACTACTACAAACTCCTTGCTACAAACTTTGACAATAATTGGAAACAATGCTTTCCCTCATGGTATGGTTATCACCATAACAACATTAAGTTTTAAATACATACAATAGTTTTAGAAAGAACAAAAAAAATTGATACATTATATTCCATCATAGTATGTATGGTTATCACCATAGCAACATTAACTTTTAAATACATACATTAGTTTTAGATAGAACAAAATGAATTTTTGTTAATTATTCAATAACTATAAGAAATATACCCCACAAACTATATATATTTGTTATCAGAAGAAAATAACAAATTATTTTAAGTCATAGCCAACTATGGTTTCCATTTAAAAAAATAAAGTTACGTCTAAAATCTCGAAAATAAAAGATGGGAAAAAAATTCTACCTACGCCACTGAATTCTTCGTAAAAAGTTGCCCATATAATGTTTTATTTATAATACTCCATCTTTGATAATAAGTGAGATATTCGCGATTGTCGTTTTCGCAAAACTTTCAGTTTTTGCCGATAGAGCGAAAACAAAAGACAATAGCTGTTCGGAGTTTTCGGCTTTAACATTTTCTCGAAAAACGAGATCATGACATGTAAGCTACTTTTTTTTCTATCTCGTTTAGTTTCGAAGATAGCCTATACGGACATCGAAATTGGGACACCCTGTACATAATTTTAAGTTAGAGTTTAAAATTTACGAATTCTAAAAAAACATATAAAAAACAATTTCGGAAAAAACGATGACCCTTTGTACATTAAAACATTAAACCATAAGGTCGGCTCACCTTTTTTTATCTATATATATATATATATATATGTCAATGTGTGTATGTGTGTTTATTAATCATTAATGCTTGAAAATCAGTATTTTGCAAGATGACGACCGGAATACAATTTGCAGAACAGGTCTTGAAATTTTTTGACTTTACTGTAACGTGTTCGATGTGTGACTAAACTTAATAACGACAATAAAGTTATGTTAATGCGCAGACGTAAGGATTCCCAAAAACTGGTATTACAAAAATTTCAAAAAATATCGCTGTTTATTAAATTCATCATTCATTAAGGTAGTTTTTATGTATGTAGAACTCTTCTAATATGTCCAGTGTTTTAGGTTTATTAATTTTCTTAATCATTTGTATCTGGTCGATGTTGGTATTGTGATTATTATCTGAAAGGTGTTTGTATACGGCCGATGATTGTTTAGTCACGTGTTCTCTAAATCTGGTCTTAAGATTACGTCCTGTCTGTCCGATGTAAAATTTGTCACAATCAGCGCATTTAAGTTTATAAACACCGCTCATGTCAAGTGGTGAGAAAAACTCATATAAGTACGAAGGCTTTCACAGCCGGTGTTAATTGAACTAAAACTAGAGACTTTCGGGTTTTGCCATGCGTCTTTTAAAAAAAGGTTCATGTTGTAAACTTTCTTTTCTGGAAGTCATTGCTCATTTTTTTAAATCTTACTATGTTAAAACATTCAAATTTTGCTGAAACTGCGTAGACAGGCAAAATTTTAGCTACTTTTTTTCTATCTCTTATTTTCGGAGATAGCCTATGCGGACAACAAATTTAGGACACCCTGTACTTAACGTAACTTTTTTTTATTAAATTTTGCTTAAATCAATTCGTTTTATTATCTTACCGAAAATTTCATCTTCGTTTTCGAGAGAGGCCATAAAAGGTGAGTCGTTTCAGTACTTAAAACGGAAGCTCCATAAAAAAGGCGATCTTTTCAGTAGTAACTTTCTTTAGATGTTTCGTTGATTTAAAAGAAGTGAAATAAAATTGAAACGAATGTAACTCGATAAAATTGTTGAGGCGATCTACAAAGTGGATTAAATATGCAATTAACTATCGTTTTGGTTAGTACAAAGTGTAACGTAAATTGAATAAGGTTTAATGACTGAAAAGACGAACGAAGACGTGATCGATAGCGTGATAATCCGATGAATTTAACGATCCATCATTCCAATTTTATTTTCATGGAACGCTTTTAAAATTTTTGGGTTTAATACTCATCCGTGTAAATCGAGTGAAAAAGTTCCGATCGATAGTTTGAGTTAGTTTCGAAACATTTTATTGTTGAAAGTAATGATCGTACAAATAAAATTTGTCAGCAGAATAAAATTCGAAAACTTTAGCACATCGAAAACCGTTGATATTTTATCACAATCAGTTTCTACATAGTGTTAATACTTCAACGGAACAGTTTTTTTTGTGTGGATTTTATTTTTCCCTAACGTCGTCCATTTTCGTTTCAGGTAATTGTAAAATGTGAATTCCCACACCTGGCTTAGTTCACATCCTGAAAACAAATGGGGGCGCACCAATCGACCAGGTTGGACAAGAATTTCGTCGGCGACGATGGTAAGTAAAAATTACTCTTCCTATTGGCTAAAATAAGCAATTATTGAAAGAAATTGCAAGACGTGATAAAATAATTTTGTGATGCATGAATAACATCAATATAAAATTCAATATAAAAAATTATATGTCGGGTTATAGGATAAAGAACTTGATATCACAAAGAAATATTTGCTTTGTATGGTAACGGTAAATTGCAAATCCGCAGGTAACATTCTCGGTTCGATCTGTAAAAGGCAATGTAGCTTTGATAAAAAATGAAAATAGCTTTGCGAATATTGATGAAATAATGGGTAGGTATAATAAAAAAGTACTACAATAAATTTTTTGATGACAATTTACTATAGCGATATTCATAGGTAATCCTAAATCTTTGCAGACTTCTTAGGATTCCGTGTCAAATTCAGAGTCATTCGAGATTTAGGATATCTTTAATACGATGTTCGAGAAGAAATTTTCTCTTAGAGGAAAATTATAATATATTTATTGGTTTTCTGTAGCTTATGAAACAATAAAAATAACCTTTTATAACGTGAAATAGTTTTGTGTACATTTATGATTGAATAATGCATTGTGTTCATTTTTGTTACTGTGTTAAATTTTTATTTTTAATTAAATTAAATTCATAACGTTACTAAATTTAAAGTTTTGCAGTCCACAAAATTTTATTATAACATCATGCGTTTCCATTGCTGCGTTGGATTCAATTTGCCTTTTGAAACAGCAACCGATGTCATCAGCAGTCACGTCGTTTTTTGAATCACCTCAATTTGAAACAATTGAAGTATTGTTATGTTCGGTCTACAACTCAGCTTCATTTTCGCAGCCGGTTGAGATAAAAAGTAATAAAGGAGTCGCCCCCAAGCGACCTCGTCTTCATTTCCTAAGTTAGTGAAATTAAATCGTGATCGAGGTTAGCATAGGAGGCAAAATCTGAGCTTGATTTCATTTTCTCATATTATAACGATAAAAGATAACCAAGCTAATGTCTGGATCGCAAGCGATTATATTCTCTAACTTAATGAAGATAAACAGTAATGGAAGTAATGCTTCGGCCACAAGTGACCTCGGCTTCATGTTCTATTTTGATGAAGATAACCAATAATGGAGCTAATGCCTCGGCCGCGAGCGACCTCGGCTTTATTCTCTATCTTGATGAAGATAAACAGTAATAGAAGTAATGCTTCGGCCGCAAGTGACCTCGGTTTCATATTCTATTTTGATGAAGATAAACAATAATGGAGCTAATGCCTCGGCCGCAAGCGACCTCGGCTTTATTCTCTATCTTGATGAAGAAGATAAACAGTAATGGAAGTAATGCTTCGGCCGCAAGTTATCTCGGCTTTCTGTTCTATTTTGATGAAGCTAAACAATACTGGAGCTAATGCCTCGGCCGCAAGCGACCTCGGCTTTATTCTCTATCTTGATGAAGATAAACAGTAATGGAAGTAATGCCTCGGCCGCAAGCGACCTCGGCTTCATGTTCTATTCTGATGAAGATAAACAATAATGGAGCTAATGCCTCGGCCGCAAGCGACCTCGGCGTTATTCTCTATCTTGATGAAGATAAACAGTAATAGAAGTAATGCTTCGGCCGCAAGTGACCTCGGCTTCATGTTCTATTTTGATGAAGATAAACAATAATGGAGCTAATGCCTCGGCCGCAAGCGACCTCGGCGTTATTCTCTATCTTGATGAAGATAAACAGTAATAGAAGTAATGCTTCGGCCGCAAGTGACCTCGGCTTCATGTTCTATTTTGATGAAGATAAACAATAATGGAGCTAATGCCTCGGCCGCAAGCGACCTCGGCGTTATTCTCTATCTTGATGAAGATAAACAGTAATAGAAGTAATGCTTCGGCCGCAAGTGACCTCGGCTTCATGTTCTATTTTGATGAAGATAAACAATAATGGAGCTAATGCCTCGGCCGCAAGCGACCTCGGCGTTATTCTCTATCTTGATGAAGATAAACAGTAATAGAAGTAATGCTTCGGCCGCAAGTGACCTCGGCTTCATGTTCTATTTTGATGAAGATAAACAATAATGGAGCTAATGCCTCGGCCGCAAGCGACCTCGGCGTTATTCTCTATCTTGATGAAGATAAACAGTAATAGAAGTAATGCTTCGGCCGCAAGTGACCTCGGCTTCATGTTCTATTTTGATGAAGATAAACAATAATGGAGCTAATGCCTCGGCCGCAAGCGACCTCGGCGTTATTCTCTATCTTGATGAAGATAAACAGTAATAGAAGTAATGCTTCGGCCGCAAGTGACCTCGGCTTCATGTTCTATTTTGATGAAGATAAACAATAATGGAGCTAATGCCTCGGCCGCAAGCGACCTCGGCTTTATTCTCTATCTTGATGAAGATAAACAGTAATGGAAGTAATGCCTCGGCCGCAAGCGACCTCGGCTTCATGTTCTATTTTGATGAAGATAAACAATAATGGAGCTAATGCCTCGGCCGCAAGCGACCTCGGCTTTATTCTCTATCTTGATGAAGATAAACAGTAATGGAAGTAATGCCTCGGCCGCAAGCGACCTCGGCTTCATGTTCTATTCTGATGAAGATAAACAATAATGGAGCTAATGCCTCAGCCGCAAGCGACCTCGGCTTTATTCTCTATCTTGATGAAGATAAACAGTAATAGAAGATAAACAATAATGGAGCTAATGCCTCGGCCGCAAGCGACCTCGGCTTTATTCTCTATCTTGATGAAGATAAACAGTAATGGAAGTAATGCCTCGGCCGCAAGCGACCTCGGCTTCATTCTCAATGTTGATGAAGATTAAATTAAAACAGAGATAAAAAGATCTTTTCTAATGCTACCAATGATATACATACATACTATAAATCAAAAAGGAAAGATTTTATTTTTCAATTTTCAATTGATTAAACATCCATCGATAAACTGCATGAATTGAAATGCACACACATATATGAAAAGAAGAACTCATCATTTTTCACTTAAGTGGTGAGTTGAAATGGAAAAAAAGATGAGATTGAATCTGGATGATCTCGAAGTTGGAACGGTTTTCACGATGTAGTTTTCAAAATAAGACGAGCTCTTTCACGACGCTATGGCAACGCTGCCCTACTAGTTTTAAAAGCCGTCTTTTGTTTACCCGATCCTCCGCGGGATTTGTTTGGTCGAGTTTGCTTCCGCCCCACTATTATTTTTGTATTGTTTGAATCGATTTTTGTATCAATATTTTCATTCGATTAAATCTTTGTTAGAATGGAATTTATTAATATCATTAATAATTTCTCAACGTCTACATTTGTAACATGTAAAATAAGATCTTTGTGTTCGGTGAGAGCCCCTTATCAGCGTGTTTTCGAATTCGTAAAGCGCTACTCTCAGCAGCACTTCTTGCAAATATACTCGAAAACTTCTCTGCTCAATTAACATAAATTGTTTTAAGTCGCCCGGAAACTTTGTCGACTTAAGGTTTTCGTCTTTAAACGTAATTTCGACGTTGCAAAGGTTGACTTTGTTATCACGTCTTTGTAGAAGCGAAAAACTCTCTAACAATGAGTGCATCACCTGAGTTGCAACTGGGTAAATATTCCCCATATAAAATGGGTTTATAAACAAAAATGAGTACTATAGAGACTAAAGTATTTTGTGTAACTTTGCAGCGCTCGTTGCAAAACTGTTCGAGTTCCAGATAAAGTTTAAACTTCACGTCTTGGTTCCAGGGCTGTAATACGGCGGATTAAGTAAATTCCGGTTAACCCTACCGTGATGAAATTCTATAACAACATTTATTTAAAAAAATGAAAATTAAGATGTGTTATTAAGAAAAGTGCACGGTGAGATGAAGTAATTTTAGAAGCGTGCAATTTTCCCCAGAGTACCTGAAAGGCATCTAAAATACCAAACCACACTCTCAAAAGTAAACGTGGCTTGATTTATGATCTTAGACCAATACATCTCGGGATAAAATCACGGATCGATAAAATTTCATCGCGTTTTCTTAAGAAAACTAAAAATTTATCATTGCAAATGAAACAAAAGTTGTGTAATTAGTTCCACTTCTCAAAATAACAACTTGATGACTCGGAATTTTGTTACTGGTGATGGATCAGCTGTCAAGAGACCTCGTAACACCACCATAAATTTTCTCTAACAACGTTATTTTTCTCCATGCTAATTAGTTTGTGTTGGGAGAAAAAATGATTACTAAAATAATGAAGTGTAATTTACTGAAATTTATACAAAGGGAAATACTTGGCCAATCGAAAATAATAAAATTAATATTTATATACAGGGTGTCTCACGTAACTGGTTCGTTGGAACTTTTTCAGGTTCCACTATTAGTAGAGATTTGAAATTTTGGTAGCATGGGTTGCTCATTAGGAACTTTCGATCTAAAATGTTTTCAAGATGGCCGCCACTTCCGGTCTCCCGGAAGTAGACCATAACTTCGCTATTTTAAATGGAATGCTATACTTTTTATTACACCGTTTAATTGTATGTAAAAAAATAGGTTGAGTTTGATAAAAGTTATTGGTACCTAGCGTTTTTTGTTTTCGAGTTATTTTGGTTTTAAGCTTTTTTTGGAAAATTTCAACATGCCCTTTAAAACTCCATATCTCAGCCAACGTTCATTCAAAAAATATCTACATTGGCACGATTACTCTTCAGATGTTGTCAAATAGATTGACATTTGTTGTATCGGAGTATCTTATACAGAGTGGTCAAAAATTGAATTACTGTTTCACCATATTCAATGCTGAGAAAGTCGAAAATTTTAAATGGAACGCCCCATATTTTTTTTTTTAACAGATTATCAATCGTAATTAATAGTACAAATAATAATAGAAATAAATTAAACAAAAAACTGTCAAAATGTCATGGCCTTCTAATAAAAATACAAACGGTTTCCTTCATTTCCTGTATGTTTTGATAAATTTACGAATATCAGAGAAACTACAATAGATAGGTACAGTAATGTTTATAGATAAATTGTAGAGAATTAAATTTCCTTTCGTCTAGGTTAATAAAATATGGGGCGTTCTATTTAAAATTTTCGACTTTCTCCCCATGGAATACGGAGAAACGGTAATTCAATTTTTGACCACCCTGTATAAGATACTCTGATACAATATATGACAATCTATTTGAGAGCATCTGAAGAGTAATCATGCCAATTTAGAGCTTTTTTGAATGAACGTTGGCTGGAATATAGGATTTTAAAGATCATGGTGAAATTTGCCAAAAAAACCTTAAAATCAAAATAACTCGAAAACGAAAAACGCTAGGTACCAATAACTTTTATCAAAGTCAACCTATTTTTTTACGTACAATTAAAAGGTGCAATAAAAACTATAGCATTCCGTTTAAAATAGCAAAGTTATGGTCTACTTCCGGTAGACCGGAAGTGGCGGCCATCTTGAAAATATTTTAGATCGAAAGTTCCGACTGAACAACCCATACTACCAAAATTTCAAAACTGTACGAATACTCGAACCTAAAAAAGTTCTAACGAACCAGTTACGTGAGACAACCTGTATAAGTAATATTTCTCACATTTGCGTGATAGCCGAAAGTCTCCCGCACCCTTCGATGGAGTTAGTTTGTCTTTAGCTATACTTCTAACGATAGTGCAAATGTTAATTTTAGTTATTAGTGCTAATACTCTAGCTAGAACTAACATTAGACGTCTGAGGACGCACGGCTAAACCCGAAACTTTTTAGTTCTAGGTCTAGTGTTAGTTCTAGTTTTAGTTCAATAAAAATATGCAACATAATGATATTTTATGCAACTAGCGCTACCTACCACCCGTCTTAAGAGACGTACGGCTTAACGGAATGTTCTAGGTCTAGTGTTAGTTCTAATTTTACACTAGCACTGTTACTATGTAGAACTAACACTATGCCTAGAACTAGAATCATTGGGGTTTAGCCGCACGTCTTTAAAGACGGCTAAACCCGAATGATTCTAGTTCTAGATATAGAGTTAGTTCTAGTTTTATGCTGGCACTGTCACTAGAACTAAAATTCGACCTAGAACTAGAAACATTTTGGTTTAGCCGTACGTCTCTCAAGACGGCTAAACCCGAATGATTCTAGTTCTTGGTCTAGTAATGCATAACAATTAAAACTAGAACTAACACTAGACCTAAAACTAGAAAGTTTCGGGTTTTTACACTAGCACTGTTACTATGTAGAACTAACTCTATATCTAGAACTAGAATCATTCGGGTTTAGCCGCACGTCTCTAAAGACGGCTAAACCCGAATGATTCTAGTTCTAGATATAGAGTTAGTTCTAGTTTTATGCTGGCACTGTCACTAGAACTAACATTCGACCTAGAACTAGAAACATTTGGGTTTAGCCGTACGTCTCTCAAGACGGCTAAACCCGAATGATTCTAGTTCTTGGTCTAGTAATGCATAACAATTAAAACTAGAACTAACATTCGCGTTTAGCCGTGCGCCTGAAGACGCACGGCTAAACCCGAAACTTTCTAGTTTTAGGTCTAGTGTTAGTTCTAGTTTTACACTAGCACTGTTACTATGTAGAACTAACACTATACCTACAACTAGAATCATTCGAGTTTAGCCGTCTTTAGAGACGTGCGGCTAAACCTAAATGGTTCTAGTTCTAGGTATAGTGTTGGTTCTGGTTTTATACTTGCACTGTGTTTGCACGTCCAATTATGATATTAAAAGTATATTAATTAATGGTCCAACAAAAACATACAACAATCTGGCACCGAATAACAATCAAAACTAGAACTAATATTAGACGTAGAACTAGAAACATTTGGATTTAGCCATACATCTCTTAAGATGGCAAAACCCGAATGATTCTAGTTCTTGGAGTAGCGTTACATAACAATTAAAACTAGAACTAACACTAAACCTAGAAAATAATTAATATTTATATATAACTAATATTTCTCACAGTTGCATGATGGCCGAAAGTCCCCCGCACCCTTTGATGGGTTAGTTTGTGTTTAGACGACGCGATACTTTCTAGTTCTAGGTCTAGTGTTAGCTCGATTGTGCAAGTATTAATTCCAGCTACTAGTACTCTCTGATGCTCGCTACAGTGAATAACGTGAGACTCTTTTAGGCCCACTTTTACCATCCTCCTGATAAACTATCTAGAGGATAGTTGCCATGGTTACGGCGGTTTTAAGCACTCTCATTGGCTAAGAGCTGGATTTATCTATCGGATAAATTTATCAAGAGGTGGTAAAAGTGGGCCTTAGGCTCGTTACTACCATCTTCTGGTTAAGCTATCTAACGGATTATTACCACGGTTAAATTTAACTAAAAGATGGTAGTAATGGACCTTACACAGTTAGATCCAATGCCTAATTTTAATCTATTTTTTGTTAAAATAATTCTTTTTGAAACAAGTACACATTTGAAATTAAACTACATTAATGAAGAACTCGTTTGAATCAGAATAAAGCTACATCGAGCTAAGATAAATATTGCCTTGTATCTTCGCTATTCTAATTTCGCTTCGCTTAGCTTTAGCTACGTACAATAGAAGTTCACCTTTATTAATTAACAAAGAAAGTTCTAAAAGTTAATTAAATTCAGACATTACAAATTTTTACGAATTAAAAAGAATTTTGATTATTTATATTTTTAAAAAAGGCGTTAATTTACAAACAACGAAACAAACTGAATTTAAATCGATTCATCTGTATGGTGTGTTTTATCTCGTTTAGACATATGTTAACGATGCCCCAGCACAAAACTGTTTCTATTTAGTTTGTTAAACGGTTGATTTATGACAACTCAACCATGAATTTCATAGTGAATTTAATTTAAACTCGAAACGGTTTACCTGGCCGATCGGAAGAAAATTGTAAAATTAATTAAAATTTACCACGTTCATTATTTGCGTGATAATAATAGTGAAAATCGGGGTTGTACGTTATTTACGCGGTGAAATAAAATTGTATTTTCAAATTCGGTCGGTATAGAAAGGGATCGGTAATAAATAGGGCTCCATTTATCACTGTGTGGATGTTATACGTTGTCGTAAGTAATAAATTTCGTCTTGTTTCAGTGAATTTCGATCATTTCCAAATACTAAGGGCTATTGGAAAGGGGAGCTTTGGAAAAGTAAGTATTTGTTTGCGAAAGAAAAACAAATCGTTAAATTCAGGAAATTTTCCGTAAATAAATTTAATCTTTCAGGAAAGGTAAAACGTTACAATGTCAACGTTTGTTTCTAATAAAATACTACGTGCACGAAACTATCCGGTTTGAACACACGCGATAGTCGCTATGATACTGTTAATACTGACATTCCACCAGAGAATATTTATTTTACTCTATACAGAGCGTAATCGCGTAATATCACATTATCACGTATCGCACAGTCGTTACATTATTAGATATAATTTTGCATTTCCTAACGGTTTCGCAAACACGGTTCTAAATTATCCAATTAATTAACGGCGATCGTTGAAATTGATTGGAAATAATTACCGAGATAATTACGTAGTGTGGAATGAAACATCTAGTTATTGTTAGAGTTAGAAATGTAAACTTTGTTCAATTTAGTCTTCGTTATCATAAAGTTTAAGTTGAGATTTGCATTTTAATGTTATTAATTTTATAAACTTCAACTTTTTAATAGAATTTACTTCTAAAAGTTGTACTTGAAGTGTAGTATGGATTACGCTTTCACAGTTCATTTGAGCACTTACTCTTAAAATGAGATGAGTTGAGATTAATTTTGTGCGTTTCTCTTTGTGTATCTTTTGTTGAGTAAATTAATTAAAAAGAAGTAGGTTTAGTGTTAATTCTAGTGATAGCTTCAGTGTTAATTTTAGTTGTTATTCAGTACTAAGTTATGTAAAGTTATTTATACCGGGTTTTTCAGGTTTTAAATTAACACAAAAACTTCATATAAATATAGGTCGAGAAACGCTGTGTTTTGGAGATACAGGGTGTTCAAATTATATTTTTAAATTGATTTTTATTTAATATTACACGTGTATTTCAACCGATTCTTCCATCATCAAGCGGATTGCACAAGCAAAATGTTTGTGCAAAATTATTCTACAAACGCTAAAGCATACTTGTATAAAAAGATTGATCATGCATACTTGTCAAGTTTGCAGTTACGTATGTAGCCACCGTTACTTTATTAATATAAGTACGAAGGTTTTCACGGCCGGTGTGAATTAAACTAAGATTAGAACTAAAACTAGAAACTTTCGGGATTTGCCGTGCGTCTTTTAATAAAAGGTTTGACGTTTCGGATGCCATGTTGCAACCTTCTTCAGAAACTGGTTCGAAGTGACGAGATCAAAAATCGGTAACTATAGATAAGTCGGAAAAAACTAATTAATAATCAGTTAAAGCTAATTACAAAATAATTAATAACTAATTGCGTCGCGTCCGGTGTGAGGCGGGAAGAGGTCTTCGTGTTCACCATCATCTTCCATGTTCTGCTAAGCTCCCAGCCATCCTCTCTGTTGACGTTATTTTTATGTCGGTGGATCTCTATGGCTTCTCTTGTCAGTCTTTGGTAGTATCTGTTGTCCCTAGCCAGCACCTTTGTTTGTTCGAAGTCTATTCGGTGCCCCTCTGCATGGCACTGTTCCGCAACCGCCGACTGCTGGATCTTCTTCAGCCTTACATCCCTCTCATGCTCCTTGATGCGGCACTCGACGTTGCGTCCAGTTTGGCCAACATAAACCTTCCCACAACTACACGATAGTCGATAGACTCCCGCTCCTTTTAATGGAGTTAGTTTGTCCTTGGCTATCGGGAGTGTGTTCCGAATTTTGCTAACCGTGCCGTACCGCACTACGATGTCGTTCTTCTTGAGGTGCCTAGCAATGCGTTCCGTTACACCTGAAACATAGGGAAGACAGATAAATCCAAGTGGTTTTGTACTTTTGTACCGTGTCCTCTTTCTGCTTTCGCTGCTTGATGGCCTGGTTGATGTCCCTCGAAGTGTATCCATTCTTCTGCAGCACGCCTCGTAGAAAGTGTTGCTCCTTCTTCAAGTTCTCTCCTTCACATAGTCTCGCTGCTCGCTGAAATAATGTACGGATCACTGACCTCTTCTGTTGGGGATGATGATGTGAACATGCCTGTAAATACCTGTTGGTATGGGTATTTGTCGTCCTGGTGACCAACACATCTAGGAAGGGTAGTTTCTTGGCAGTTTCTGTTTCCATGGTGAACTTAATCATAGGATGTTGAGAGTTCAAGTGATCCAAGAACTCTTGGAGCCGTTTTTGACCATGTTGCCATATCACAAACGTGTCATCCACATATCGGAGCCATAGTTTTGGTTTCCACTGGCTTTTCTTCAAAGCATCCTCTTCGAATAATTCCATGTAGAAATTAGCTATAACTGGCGATAGTGGAGATCCCATGGCTGCCCCTTCGAACTGCTCGTAAAATTCTCCTTTCCAGCTGAAATACGTCGACGATAAGCAATACTCCACCAGATCTAGCACGTATCCTGGTAAACCCTCCGGAATGAGTTTTCGGCGAAGACCCTCTACAGCATCCTTAACTGGTACCCTAATAAAAAGGGATTTCACATCGAAACTTACCAACATATCCCCAGCATCCAGCTTTACACCTTTTACCGATTCCACAAAATGTGTAGAATCCCTGACATACGATTCCGTGTTACCTGTAAAGGGAGACAGAATCTTTGCAAGATGTTTGGCCAGCTGGTATGTTGGGGAGTTGATGGCGCTGACGATAGGGCGGAGGGGGACGTCTGGTTTGTGAATCTTCGGTAGTCCGTAGATTCTTGGTGGTACCGGCGCCTGCACAAACAAACCTTTCTGCTAGTCTGTTGGAATTCCTGTGGATTTTATCAGTTCCTTCATTATTCTAACGATTTTGTCTGTGGGGTCCTTCTTGATCTTCTTTTAGGTGGCTGGGTCCAGTAGGTTCATCATTTTGTCGTCGTATTCCCCTTGTCTGCTGATAACACGGCGATTTTTGATTTTTCTTTTATAGATCGGAGTGCCTTCTTTTCACCAACCGTCAAGTTGGATTTTGGTGGTTTTGCTGACTTCAATACTCTCGCAACTTCTTGTCGGATCTCTTCGGCTTTCAGTGCAGGCATCCCTCGGACAGCTGCTTCCACTTCGCAGATGATTTCCTCCTTTGGGACCTTCTTCGGGGCGATTGCGTAGTTCAATCATTTGGCGAGCACAGAGGTTTCGTCTTTCGTTAGTGGGACATTCGATCTGTTAATGACGATTGTTTCTACTGGTAAACTATTACCTTTCTTCTTTTGCGACCGGCGTTCCAGAGATTCAAACTTCTTGATGTGTGTGTCACGGGTCTTCTGAAATTCGTAAAACGGACTCCATAATCGTCTTTCTCATGCCAAAAAACTTCCGTATACCAAATTTGAATAGAATCGGGTGAAATACACGTATAATATTTAAATAAAAATCAATTAAAAAAATTTTATCTACGACTGCTTGGATAAGTCATCATTACCGCACTCATTTGAGGTGATTTGAGTTACGTAATGAAGTTCATTACCGCACTGGTTTCATTACGTAACGCATTTTTAGCCTAATCAGAACAGACTTAATTTATTGAAATGAGCAACAATACAAAAGAAAAAATGCTATCTACTTACAGAGAAACAACACTATTTATTATAAACATTAATTGTTATGTTTTTACATTTCAAAACACTTATTCCAGATGAGTGAATGAAACATGTTTTTGAAACTGACAATTCAAAATTGTCAACAATCATTTCAAAATATTTTTATAAATATCAAATAGACTTTTTTAAAGAAAGTGATTTTTTAGTAATTTTTAGCAGTCGTAGATAAAATGCTGTATATCACACTTGTAATATAAATAACTATTACTTAACACCCTATATTTTCAAAACAAAGCGTTTGTCGACCTATATTTATATGAAGTTTTTGTTCTAATTTTAAAAGATCTATCGACTGTTAAATTCCTGCTACAAAAACCTGAAACACCCTGTATAATTTAAATTGGTAGGAATAATTTTGGGTCATAATAAAAGAGAAATTGGCTTTGAATAATTACGCATAGTAATTCGAATTGATTGATACACATATGGATTCGTAAATGTGACCTCCGCTAACAACATCATGCAATGTACATTTTGGGAGATATAAAACGATTCCCGAGTTGACTATCATTTTCAAAAATTTTAACTCACTTTCATTAACTTCAGTTACCATTTTTAAGAATTTTTTTTCTGAAGGCGACGTCGTGACCTTTCGTGGTCACGGTTGACGGTCCGGCAATTTGAACTTTTCAAGGCTCAGTCTGTGGCAATCTCCGATTTTAATTCGATTGTCGGCGGGGCGGTAGTAACAAAATTTCCTCAGTGCTTGCACTTCCGGTGGCGGCTGAAAGACGCACGTCGACCTCATGCGCCGCGCTGCTATTACGACCGAAATGAACCGACCGGAATTAAATTTGTGTCGAGCTGGTTCTTTATGAATCGCCGCATCTGCTCGTTTAATTGAGTTTCGGCGACCGATTGGTTCCTATTCAGCGTTCTGTGATTTTCTACTTTTTAAAATCAATATTTTCTTGAACAATACCGTGATAACGAATCAAAAACCACAAAACTAAATTACTAAACGTTATAGTTTTAATTATGTTTGACTCTCATTTATCGTATTAACCATGACGTTAAGTTGAAATAAAGTTAACTAAACTTAAGTTCTCTCTATAAACGATATTAATTAACTACGTCTTATGAAAGTTTCATATTTGACTTTCTAAGATTTATGGTTTCACTTAAATTTAATTTTTAAGTCAAAATATTAACCTAATAATCTATGTAAACTCGCACGTTAATAGGAGTGGAAAGTCTTTTATCGATTGTTGGGTTTGGCACTAATCCGCCGAGTACTTTAATTAACTGCCAATACATATCTTCGACGTTAACCGAACGTTTCGAACAATTACTCTTGCCGAAGGTTTCGATTTTCATCCGAGTATAAATTTAAAAAAATCGCATCTCATGAACTAATGGAGATATCGTCATAAAATAAAAAACATTTTGAAATGAATTTGATTTAATGTGCCATAAATAATTTCTTATTTTCTATAAACATCATTGTTATGAT